AGCAGCGAACGCTCTTCCTCCGGCCCACGCTGGGTATTCATCGGGGCACGCGTTGGCCTCCGTCCCCTCCTGCCCTTGCCAGTTGGAGTGCAAAGCCAACAGATTCCTTCGGAGTTGGCAAATACAGCTCACTTGAAGTGGTTCGAGATATAATGAAATACTTGTAGTCTGCAAGTTGAGTGTTTCCTCTTTATGCCTTGTACTTGGATCTCCAAAACGTGTCCGTTTCATACGTCCAGCGTAACGCAAGAGCCCTCATCAGACAAGCGACGGATGTAGATAATGACAGTGGCCTCCCTGCCCTGTTGGTCTGTTTCTTGCCGAATTTCTCTCTTGCAGAAGAGCGGGATGGGGAGTCCCCATCTCCTTCGCTCTGAATTGCTCTCAGAAAGACTTTCTTTAGAACACTGTGGCATGCAGATACCTTCTGTGGCCTCCTCTGGTGTTCTCTTTGAAGAATGGTTTTCTCATGCCAGCAAATAAGGAATTACTTAAATATTCATGCTTGCTGTTCTGCTGAATGACTGTAATGTACTGCAGGTTTTTTAATTCAGCTGGAAAATGCTGGATTATATAAAAGCTTCTAGATGGTATTGGCTGGCCTCTCTCAGATATGGAAAATTGGCTTCATCAGAAGGTGAATACTACTCTGGCCATGACATGCAAACTCATTGGAGTTCGTCTGATTGAGCAAATTGTTCTAAAAAATGAAACCAGACCCTTGCAACGACCTGGGACATCAACCTGGTGGCAGACATCTAGGACGTGGTACTGGGACAGGATGAACCAGGATGGACTGGCTGTGGTGAAGGTCTTGCAGCTACGAAAAATGGATCTGTAAAGTGCCCTGTGCTGCAGCGATAGGAGAGCAGGGGCATAGATAAAACCCAGGGCTCAAAATCATTCGTTTCCTCAGGTATTGTGGATAGGGGAATTGCTGTTGTTTCTAGGAATTGACTTAATTTTCTCTGCAGGTTGGTGCAAAGCCAGAAGAGACAGTTTGTGAATCTCTTTAAAGGGTATAAAAAAAGTGCTGAAAACGTTTATTCTCCTGCCCGTGTGCTGTTTGTGAAAAGCCTTTCCCCCTCCTACTCTTCCTCTGAGACCCAAACCTCTCCTCACCACCGTGGCGTGACTTCACTTCCTCTATCGCAAACAGATCAGACGTGTTAACTTAAAAAAACCTCATGAAAACAAAATAAACCCAACCGCCCAGAACCCCCACAAGTGGGGAGTTGACAAACGGTTACTGACCAGTTAATCTTGCAATATTTTAATGTTTCCTCTGCGTACTCGCCCTGAGTCCTCCCCCTCATCGCCCTGGCTCCCGCGTCCAAAGCGAAAGCTCCTTAATTTGCCCCGTGAATCCAACTTCATCCCACGCAGAAGGCAGGCACCCCACCCTGTGCAGGAACGAGCGGGCCAGGTCGCTTGGGAGCATACCCTGACCTCTCACACTCCTAGCTTTTTTTTGCAATACCAAGCAGGATTATTAGGTCAATAGTTTCTGTAATCTGCAGAGGATTACACTGCTCTGCGGCTGCTGTAAACTATAGGGGCTTTCCCTTAAAGAAAAAATAAATTCTGTCTGTCCTTTTAAAAATTCCTTTTCATTAATATTTTGCCTCTAATACCTCCTTTTCCTCTCCCACCCCCTGCACTCGCTGGCTCACGTTTCAGCTGGGTCCTGGAGTTTTTTGGCACGTTGTGATGCTGCGCTTGCACAGAAGCGTCCCAGCGAAACACAAAACAGAGATGGGGGTCTCGGGGTCCTGGTCCCTTTGCTCCGGCTGCCCCTCGGCAGGGAGGAGGGTTGGCCGTGGGTGCAGAAGCTGCTCTGTCCCTGCGTGGGTTTTCTGCAGGTCACGCTTGGCCCAGAAGCTTGTGCTGCTCCTGCGTCTTTTTGTGAATAAATAGAATTTTCAAAGCTTCCCCCACGGAGAGAGTGAGGCTGAGTGAGCTGGGGCTGGCTGCTTTATCACACCATCTCTCTCGGGGGAAGAAATGGCTGTGTCCGTCAAGGCTTGCCATTTTCAGGGGCTCCTCATGACTCTGGAATAACCAGATTCCTGGCTTCATGCTTAATCCTCGGCATAACATCAGCCTGTGTCGGTCAGTCTTGACTGACATGGCCTTTTCATCTAGCGGAGAAGGTTTTTTGGATGTTTTTCTGGTTTTCATCCCCCATGTCAGCTGTGCCCCAGCACCGCCTGCCAGGCAGAGCTGAGACCCAAGCTGCTGGCGTCGAGCATCCTCCACCCTGCACCAGTGTCACCTAATGCCGCTGGGCACCTCCCATACCTGTGTTAGAGCCCCTGGCTCCACTGCGTTGTCTCTTCCGCTGGGGTCTCCCAGCTCTCATGCTCTTTTTCCCACTTTCTTACTGGTTTAGGTAATACCTGTTGCCTGCAGCGTTGCATCCGTGCTTACGGTTGCTTGGAGATGGTTCATCTGACAGCGCGTGCGGTTATGGCACCAAGCGCAGGCGCCAGCTTTAGCAGAGTGCTGTTCAGGTGTCAGCAAGCGTGTTTTAAACTGTTGCTGCTGTCAGGTTGTTATTTCCTGTCTGGCAAGAAGCTGCTTCTGCAAAGATTGGTGGCTTTGTAACCCAGTTTTATCTCGTAACGGGCAGGTGGAATGAGCTGTTGCGGTTTGTGAGCGTGTTGTCTCAGCACAGCGCTCCGAGCGTGCCGTGGCTGCGGGCACTAGCGAAGCTGGTGTGGGATTGGAAGCCAGCGGGATGACATCCTGCTTTTCCAGGCTGAACGGCTCTGGTTTGCAACCCAATTTTAAAACTCGATTGCTGGTAAAAGCCTCGGTTTATGTCATGTTGTTGCTAACACTGTTCCATCGGGCAGGAGGAGAAAGAGGGATTTTCAACCCTTGCAGAGCAATTCTCCGCTGATGTGGTGTGCCCGTCCGCAGGTCATTCCTCCCGGGATGCTGAGGGCGCTGGCAGGGACGGCGCTGAGAGCTGCATCAGTGAAAAGTGAAATCCTTTTAGGGTTATTCAGAGGTGAGCTGCTACGCACTGAGAATTTTTGCATCTCGGTGGCTTTTATTTATGCAGCAGCTATCCCTGCGAGAAGGGAGAAACTGGGATCAGCGCAAAAATCCACGTCACCCTCATGCACGTGTGTCTGCCTGGCTTCCAAAATCGCTGGGCTGGCATCTGCTGGCACTGACAGCTTGCTTGGGCACGGTGGGCTGTTCTGGCAGGATCTATTCTCCAGCTCCAGGAAAAGCAGACAATAGAAGGCCAAGCAAATGTGCTCTGATGCTGCCACCTATCTATAGGTAGCTCTAATTGCTCACTGATGGCCTTCCTATTTCATGTTTTAATACACTATATGTAGGTCAAACTCAGTTCAAAGATGATTGTACAGTGCTGAATTGCAGGAATATTTTTGGTAGGGCCGATCCTGCCTTGGGGCGTGGGGTGATGGGTTTTCTCTCCCATCCCCAATCCCTGACGCCTCCCTTGATGCATAAACCCGCCCTGACTCCGCAGCTGGAATTCCAGTGCTCTGCGGTCCTTGGGGGTCTGTTCCTCCTCCTGATGGCATTTTCCTGATGTGTGCAACAGAAGGGCTCTGCAGCCAAGCAGGCAAGAAGCCAGCAGGCCATTTGCTGCATTGGAAGGTCATTTCTGCAGCACTAATTGGGGCTGCTTTAACCTTTGCCAGGACCAAACTGCTCTTCCCCAGTTCACTGGCATCTGAAATGATAAATACGATGTGAAACCCAATTGCTAGTGTTTTTAAAGGAATAAAATTAGGCATCAGTATAGCTGCAGCAACATTCCTGTGAGAAATGAGCATAATTTGAAAAGACAGCGACTTGATTGGATGGGATTTGAGCTGCACGGGAGCCTTTGAATCCTTCTCAGGCAGCATCTGAGATGAATGGATCTCTGGCCACAGCGATAACGGGGCGTAAGTAACTGGTTATGTGCTGGCAGTGTGAGCTAGGAAGGATGTTACACACAGATCAGCTGAAGGTTTGTTGGTGGCTGGGAATGATTCCCTCCCCGATTCCGTCTTCCTGTTTATACAGAGAAGTGACAACTCGGCCGTCTGCTGTGGCACGGCGCAGGATGCAGGAAGCAAAAGGAGTAGCCTGCTCTTCAGAGGGGCTGGCCCTTGGCTAACCATCTTTCCTTTCCCCTTTCCAGGTGTGGCAGATTCCCGAGAATGGACTCACCCTGTCCCTGACAGAGCCAGTGGTAGTCTTAGAAGGCCATTCCAAGAGAGTCGGCATTGTGGCTTGGCATCCGACGGCACGCAACGTGCTGCTCAGCGCAGGTACGGTGTGTCAGGGCTGCGGGGACCGCAGGCCTCTCTCCCGTGTGCTTTGCTTGCACACCGAGTATTATGGAGAAGAGCCTGTTGACTTCTTACTTCCTCTCCCAGCTGCTTAGGGCTGGTGGCTCACAAGACTCATGGCAGTGCCTGGGAACACCGGGACACGTGGCTCACAGCCCCCATCCTTATCTTGGCCCTTTATCTTCAGTTTACAGGGAGGAGAACCAGGAAATTGTTGGGAGGCCTGAACTGTCTGCAGGCCTACAAGAAATCTGGTGGGGACTTTTTACAAGGTCAGGGAGTGACAGGGCAAGGGGTAACAGGTTTAAACTGAAAGAGGGAGATTGAGATTGGATATCAGGAAGAAATTCTTCCTGGAGAGGGTGGGGAGGCACTGGGACAGGTTGCCCAGAGAAGCTGTGGATGCCCCGTCCCTGGAAGTGTCCAAGGCCAGGCTGGATGAGGCTTGGAGCAACCTGGTCTAGTGGAAGGTGTCCCTGCCCATGGCAGGGGGTGGGGCTGGGTGGGCTTTAAGGTCCCTTCCAACTCAAACCGTTCTGTGATTCTATATTTTACAATTTAAAAATTGTTCCAGGCTTATTTGATCTGCCAGCTTCATCCACTGCTAACTCTTTACATCTGTACTCTCCTCATCCCTGTCTTCACTTTTATAAAAGGCCCAACTGCTTCTCCTTTCCCATGATCCCAGGCACTCTGGCTGGAATTACTCCTAAGAAACAGAGGAGAAAGGATGCTGTGAGGTCATTGCAGTCTCCAGGGTTCCTCCCAGTGACAACAAACTGATTTGGGGTGTCTTTCCTTCCCTTACCTGCTCCTCCAGTCCTGTTCTCTATTTTGCTGTCATCTTATCTTAGGCTTCATACTTTGTCTTCTTGCTGTCTGGTCCTTGAACAAAACCACTCTCCTGATGGCTGTAGTCCTTGTGAAACTGCTGACCTCAGCTTTTGCTCCTGCCATTCTTTTTTTCCCCTTTGATCTGCTGTTTCTCCGGCTGTCACTTGCCTGTTTTCCATCCGTGCCGCTTTTGCCCTTTCTGCCGCAGACCTCCCTGACCTGAGGAGGCAGCAACTGACTACCAGCCAGCGTTCTCACGCCTAGAGTTGTCAGAACATCACCCCTTTGTCCTTGGCACCTCTGGCTCTGTAGTCCTGCAGCTGAGCCACGACCCAAGAGCTTCTGCACAAAGCTCTCGCAGGAGCAGGGGCCAGGGCACGCTTTCACAGACCTCCTTCAGCTGCACCTCCTGCTTTTCCCTTCAGCTTCCTCCCTGACAGGGACCTCTCCCATCCCTTCTTCCAGCCCCATGCCTGCCTGGGGTGGTGGTTATCTGTGGGAGCAGCACCCAAATACCCCCACATAAACTGCCGTTGTCTGGGACAGCTACAGCGCCTCTGAGAAGGTGCTCGACGCTTTCAAGAGGGGAGTTTTGTGACTCCTCTGGTTGCTTGGTCCATGCTCTGAGCCTGTATTTGGGTGAGGATGTGCTGCCTGGGGCCCCGTGTACATGGTGATGCACAGAGCGTGTTAAAGAGGCAGCATCCAAGGCTTTGGAGCTGTGGCAGCTTTTGTTCCTCATTCCCTGCTCCTGGCTTTTTTTTTTTTTCTGTATACCCCAGTGTTGTGACTTAAGCTGTTATTTTCTATTTTAGGTTGTGATAATGCAATCATCATCTGGAATGTGGGAACAGGTGAAGCCCTCATAAACTTGGATGACATGCACGTGGATATGATTTACAACGTGAGCTGGAATCGCAATGGCAGCCTAATCTGTACAGCTTCCAAAGACAAAAAAGTTCGAGTTATTGACCCCAGGAAACAAGAAATCCTTGTTGTAAGTCTGATAGTTAAAGAAGCAGCTGGGTTTCACTCCAGCAGTTAGCACGACCATACAGAGAAAGAACCTTTTTGCTTAGTGTATACCATGTTTAGTTGTGCTTTTCAAAGTGAGGAAGAAATTAGAGGAGGGATAGTGGTGGTTGAAGGATTTGTCTGGGCTTACTGGGATTAATGTTTGAACTAGGATTTTAGGGCTCAGTTTTAAAACCTGCAGGAGTGTAATTCCACATCTAATCCTTTTGTATAATTACAGTTCCAAAGTTGTGTATGCAAAGTGGAGATTTAGAACCCTGCATGTGCATCGTGCCTTGCAAAGAATCCTTCCTTCAACCTTGCAGGAGTCTGATAGGCAAAGCTGAAGCGAGCCAGGAATGACCACTTCTTTTGTAGTTTAGTAACTGCTTTCTTCCCTCAAAAAGATAGTTGGATGTTGCTCCGTATAGTTGGGATCCTGGGTGGAGGAGCAGGGTGTCCTGCCGGGGATTCTGTGCAGCCAGCAGAGAAGCCACCACCACGTGGGCTTCCTGTTCCTTGCTAGAGGCTAACCTGTAAACCCCTTTCAGGAGAAAGAGAAGACCCACGAGGGAGCCCGGCCCATGCGAGCCATTTTCCTCGCAGATGGCAACATCTTCACAACCGGCTTCAGCCGCATGAGCGAACGGCAGCTTGCCCTTTGGAATCCGGTAGGTTCCTGCCCCCTTACTCCGTGGCTGTTGTCACCTCCGCTGAGTTACTGCCCCAGACCTGCAGTCGCCCGCTGTGTCCATGTGCTTGAGCATCCTCCCTCCTCCACCTGCTGCCCACTCCTGCGCGGGGGTTGCCATTGTAGGCTGGGTGTTCCCTCAGTCAAGGAGTTGAGTTCCACGGTATCGGGCGCAGGGGTGAAGCTGGCAGCTGTTTGCAGCCTCGGAGACGATGCAGGGTGGCTGTGGGAAGGCCGCCTCATGCTGTACGTTACACGTGCAGAGCCAGACAGCAACAATCCCATCATGCTGGCACAGGGCACTCACTAACATGACACAACACATCTTTCCCTTGACTCTGCATTTCTTTGGGTCCCGTTTTGATTGCATTTTGTGATTAAAGTGTTCACAAGCTTATTGATTCCCCAAGGAAACGTACAGCATTCCTTGTGGTAACACAGAGCCTTCAGGGTGGTGAGGACACCGCTGCAAAGGACTGTTAATAACTTAAAACCCATGTTAACGTGAGCTTTTCCTTTCCTCAGTAACGTCACTGCCATGTTTTTATTTCCAGAAAAACATGGAGGAGCCGATAGCCCTTCACGAGATCGACACCAGCAACGGCGTCCTGCTGCCGTTCTACGATCCAGATACCAACGTTATTTACTTGTGTGGCAAGGTAAAGCTTTTGGAATGACTGGGCTTGTGCAGAGTGACGTTCTCTGATGTCTGAATGAGTGATGTTCTCCAGGTGTCTCGACTGAGAAAGGTAGAACCGAAAGGTAGCGCTGAAGACAAATCAGGCTGTTCTGAAATCGCTTTGATCCTCCACTCTCAGGTGCACACAGCCCGGGAAGGTCTGGTGTGCAGTCAGATGTGTCTTTGAGGTGGATTTGCTTAGGTAAAGCTCCTCTTAATGCAACAAGTCAGATATCATTCATCAAAACATCTCTTGTGGGTGTTGACCCAAAGGATTGTACATTAGTGTCCGAGGAAGGTACATCTGAGATACTACCTTCCTTGTGCTTGAAGGTGATGGAGCATGTAGCGACACTCACTGTCGTTTTGTGGGGTTAAATAACAGAAAACTGGAATCACGTGCTCCTTTCTAAAAGCAGTTTGTAGGCATTAAGTGCTCTAAAGTGCCCACTTTGGAATGCCGCAGTTTTGGGCTTCCTACAAAGAGGAGCCAAAGACAAGATGAACAAGTAATTACAGAGCAGGATCCATACAAGTACATTCAGGAATCCCATCTTTGTGACCAGCTAATGAGAAATACTTGGTTTATCTCTCTGCTACCTCTTTGGCCGTTTCAGAGATGCCAGTGTAGTAGAATCACCTGGAATCACAAAGAGAGGCTGGTATGAAGCCTTTCTGCCTGACTGTGGCACAAAGTTTAGCTTTTTCACGAGGGGAATTTGTCACCCCCAGCCTTGAAACGCGAGCTCAGGTCACTGTAATGCAGTATTTTAGCCTCAAAAAAAAAGAGCTATAAACTGCATCTTGCTCTGTGGCGGCGTTCCTGGAAGGCAAGGCTGTCGGGTGAGAGCCATGGCTGCCTATCCCAGCAGGGACCAGGCAGCCTCTGGAGCAGTCTTCCGTTCGTTCTTGCAGGGTGACAGCAGCATTCGCTACTTCGAGATCACGGACGAGTCTCCCTACGTTCACTACCTCAACACCTTCAGCAGCAAAGAGCCGCAGAGGGGCATGGGGTTCATGCCAAAGAGGGGCCTCGATGTGAACAAGTGTGAGATTGCCAGGTAAGGAGGGAGGCTGTCGGGACGGGTGGTGGCGTGGTAGCAAGCCAACCCTTCCCCAGTTCAGCCGGTCAGAAATGGAGAATCCTGCTGCTGGGGGTAGGACTCCGCGGCTGGAAGAGCTCTCTGCCACGGTGTTGTTCCTGTGACGTGATGCAACACTTGTCTGTGCTGATACAACCTCAGAATGTGCTGGGGCTGAGGCCGTCTATAAATAAGTGATGTCTGGTAGAATACGCTGTCTGCAGAAAACCCCGGCATCAGGTTGGTTACAGCCTCCGCTGTCAACCTGTCGGTGATGAACTTGTGGTGCCCAAGGCTGATGGCAGTCTCCAGCTCGTATGCGGGCTGGCAGCTGGGTTTGGGAATTTGAGAGTGGTGAAGGCAGCAGCACAGTGCCCAGAGTGCAGCTGTGATTCAGGAGACATAGCAAAGGAAGGAAGCATCTCTGGACAGCAGGTTTGTGTCACAACGACAGCTCCTGGCACGCCACTGGCAGGGAAACATGCTGGGTGTTGCCCCTGATGCCCTTTGATGCTGCTCTGATGATGAGTGAAAGCAGGAGCCCCCGGAAGGGAGCAGAGCCTGCGCTCGCCTGCGGCAGATGAGTATTCCGGTGGCCAGGCTGAGGACATTCCCAGTTTGGCCCTGTCCCGGAGCAGGGCTGCGAGGGGTGGCCAGCGTGCGCAGACAGGTTGGCTGTCCTCACGTCTGAATTGGCACTTTTCTGTCTGATTTGAAAGGTTCTTCAAACTCCACGAGAGGAAGTGCGAGCCCATCATCATGACGGTTCCTCGAAAGGTGAGCGCTGCGGGCGGGCGATGTGGCTCGAAGCCGGCTCGTGCCTTCCTGCCCCAAAGCACTTGACCAAGTCATCTCTTCTGGCTTGCAGTCGGACCTCTTCCAGGATGACCTGTACCCGGATACAGCCGGCCCAGAAGCAGCTCTGGAAGCAGAGGAGTGGTTTGAGGGGAAGAATGCCGATCCCCTTCTCATCTCCTTGAAGCACGGGTACATTCCGGGCAAGAACAGGGATCTCAAGGTGGTCAAGAAGAACATACTGGACAACAAACCTGCCGCAAACAAGAAAAGTGATCTCATAAATGCTCCAAAGAAAGCAGCCGATGCCTCAAACACTGTGAGTAAAACCCACAAGCTTTTGGGGACGGTGGCCTGAGACGTGATTACCACGTGCTCCTTTGAGATTCTGGGAATTAACCAGGGTGCTGCAGCTTCTGAAACAGTTCTGTCAGAGCCTAAGCACCTGTGACTGAAGTGCTGGGATTTGAGTGCCGGTGGGTGACCTGGGGTCAGGGTGGTGCTTGACTTGTGGTGTTCCAGGCAAGGTTTCTGTAGCTGTGAAAGATAACTGGGAATTATGACACAACGGAGAGCTTGGCTGCGTGTTCCAGCCTCCCGCCTGCCTGGGAGAGCTTCTGTGCACCCCTTCCCTGTGTAAAACCCAGCACAGACGGTGGGACAAGGGAACCTCGGGCTGTGCAGGACCAGGAGGAGGTTGTACAAGTTGGTATCAGGGGGATGTGGCTGAGACAGGGGACAGTAACGTGCTGTGATGTGGAATCACGCAGCTGTCAGTCACGCAGGTCCTTAAACGCTGTTCAAGAGGAGATGGGAGTCCAGCGTGTCCTTGAAGCTTGCACTGGTGCTGCTGGATGCCCTGAGCATCACAGCTGCCGTCCTGCCAGGCGTGTCACACGCGCAGCCCGCTCCCCCGCGCGCCCCGGTGCGCTTACGGCTCGCGAGTCCGTTCCGAGGAGCCCCTTGCTCCGAGAACTCCCGTCCGCAGAGCGCGTCCTGGCTCTCCTAACCTCCACGCCTTTTCTCTTGTCTTCCAGCAAAACGAAGCCAAATTGGATGAGATTTTGAAAGAGCTGAAATCGATAAAAGACACGATCACCAACCAAGACGAGCGCATTTCCAAGCTGGAGCAGCAGATGGCAAAGATTGCGGACTGAGCGGGAGCGAGCGGCGCTGGCCCTGCCGCCAGCCCAGGCACATTCCAGTTCCCCAGTTCGGCAAGCAGCAGCCTGCAGCATTCCAGTACGAGCTTTCCTGTTCTCCTAAATTCACGTCAACGAGAGCCGATGATTAAAAGCCAAGCTTTTTAGTGAAAGATTTTTTTTTTCCTGATGTTTTAATGAATTTATGTGACTGTGTCAAACAAGTCAAAAAGATTAAGTGCTACTTTTACAATCTTTTTTGTTTTGTTTTTTCCAGATGTTACGAATTCTTGAAAACAAATCCAATTCTGACTTTCAATGTTGTGCCCAAATACCTTGTTTTTCTAGATATAGGGACCAATGCCACATTGTTCTCCACCATTTTTTTTTTAAAGTTGCCAAAAAAAAAAACAAAACCCAAACAAACACCAAA